TGCATTCCAGAAATTATATTCCCATTTCTAAGATTTATTAATGTTTTGTTACAAATCGCCCCCATTCATTAGTTGACCGTCGAGGCAACTAACAATCTGCTTGATGACTGATGTTAAATTTTTTTTAAATACTAATTTTACCCTCAATTTTTGTCCTTTTCTCTCAGCTGCTATCTACTTTTTTTTTTTTTTTTTGGTCTACATCTTTTGCATGCAGAACAGCACCCACCCACCACGTCCAGCTCTCTCCTCCTTCCTTCCACCTCTCGGCGACATGATCCTACTCACCACCATAATACACCACAAAAATTAGACATAGATCTGTGTATAGACCACCGAATTCAATGGAGAAACATAAACAAATGTTATATGCAAATTATATCTAACATTGTATATTTTTTGGGGGGTTTGGCAAGTTGAATTTTAGCTTTTTTTTTTACTAAAATTCACAAAAAGATAAAATATGCTAAAATAGTTAATAAGACAAAATGTGACATCAAATCTAAAAAACTTTTTCTTTCATAAACATCACATCCAATTACAAAAAAATTTAATGATCTTCCCAAACACACAAATTTTAACTTATTAAAATAACTAAAAACTAAAATAACCTATTAAAATAGTAACTTCCTAAACACCCAGTTTGGCATGAGACGGAGGGAACTAAGGACCGGTGGCACGTGATCCCCTCATTTTTAAAAAATTATATTAATACCCATGAATATTAAAAGTAGGATTGGGCTTTTTCTATGTTGAGATTTTAATTTGAGAGAACTTGAGGGATCTATAAAACCCATTATGAGTCTCGTTTCGATGATTCGAACTGTTCATTTTGTAGAACCCTGATCATATATTATCCATAAAAGAAATTAGTTCAATCTAATAATTATGACTTTTTCATTTTATCGCATTTGTATTCGAAAAAAATGGACAACAAATATATTTTTGAAATAGATTATTCATTTTTTAAGAGACAAATGCGATAAAATGAAAAAGTTATAATTATCAAATTGTCCTAAATTTTTTAATAGATAATATACATTGCGTACTTTACAAAATGAACGGTTTGATTCATCAAAATGAGATTCGTAACAAACTCTACAAGCCCCTCAAGTTTTATTATGTTGAGATCTCAACATAAGAGAAAACCAACTCAAAACGTATCTCTAATATATCCTTTGTAAAATTATACTAGTGCCCCTCCTAAATTATTAAGGTACTTAATATTTTTAATTTTTTAAAAGGAACTTCTATATGATGTTTTAAAAAAAGAGTAATAATATACAAACTAAATATTAGTACAAAAATTCTATACAAAATGAGTTGGCATCTTGTGGATCCTTTATTTTCAATCAAAACATCTACTATTGTCTTTGTAATTCCACAAATATTATTGGCACATCATTTGATGAATTTTTTTATATGAATTTTATGTTTGCAAATCATTTTTCTTAAGAAAAATGTGAAAAGGGTCTTTCTTCTTATCAGTGAACTCTATCTTGAACACATTGACACTCTCTTTGTATTCCTCACTCATTTTCCTTCATACTTTATATTCTTTACTTTTTTTAGTTATTTGTGTTAGTTTGTATTGAAATGTGATAAGAGAAATGTAAGTAGTTAAATTATATTTTTTTAAATATTTTAATAATGATAAATTTATCCTCCAAAGTTGGAGTCTTATTTATAAGACATCACATGACTGCACTTACAATTTTATGATTCGAGTTTTATTTGGTATGAATTTTGAATTATTCAATTAGAAAATAAAGAAATAAACCAAAAAAAGTTCCAAGACAGATTTTGAGCATATAAACAAAGTAAAAGAGGCCTTTATTATGTGGCTGCTACGTCATGCCCAATCTAGATTGATTGGCTGGGGGAATGGGAGTTGATCTTAACTGTACTTTACCAAGGGGCAAAATATAAATGGGGCTGATCTAAGCCTTAGACTGATCCAAACCATTAAGCCCAAACCCGAGTGGCCATCCGATGTGGGTCAGATACCTACGTGGACTTAAACCATTAATCCCATCTCCACACAAATTATCCTCCTAAGTCCTCAAGTACTTGGGCCAAGCATGTTAAGGAATAGGTCAGCTCAAGCACGATACTGAACTGGGCCAAATTGATGGGCCGAACCCATCAACAGAATCAAAGTGGGCTGACCCACTCAAAGCCATCCAAATAGGCCAGCCCATCTCTATAAGCGACCTCATGAAAGGCCGAATTGGTGTATGAACGGAACCAAGGTAAGGAACTCCTAAGCAAGCATGGATGTTCTAAACGCATGCATGTGCACAATGCCACCTCAACTAGTCCCCCTCCCTAGAATCACGGAATCAATTAACATAGAGAATGTGATCTGTTATATGCATGATTACTATGAGCACATAACTCCATGGCTAACCACCTTGTGATCCCCTACCTTCGGCAATGCTAAAGAGAGTATTCAGGCACCCAAATTTCATGAACCCATATTGGAAACAAGCAAAGTCTTCTATATGAGCAACACTCTCTTCACATTGAAGGTAACTTATCACATCTTGAACTAACTCCTCACACATTGAACACTCCTTCTGTTCCTCTCTCTACACCTAGAGAAAGTATTTCATCTTCTCCAATCACTCATTCCCACATCGGAGGGCTTTTCCGGCCAACTCCGGCGCTGGGTAGCTCTGATGGTGCTCTATTTTGCAAGCACTCAATTCCTGAATAGTCTAGTTCAAGCCCAAAGCTCCAATTCACTTTCATCGAATGCAGTATTTGGTACACACACTCTACATATGCAATATGATTTGGAAGATAAGTAGCTTGAGGGGAAATGCGGTTAATTGAGGGGTTCTTTTTTTTTTTTTTTTTCCTTCAATTGGGTAATTGGAGTGCACAACTCACTCAAAACATCTGAGAAGCTAACTAACTTAATCTTTGTGAATGAATGCCTCTTTACTCACCATACCCTACCCTACAATTCAAATGGAGTGTAAATGATATATGGGGATATATATGAGTATTCACGCGGAATTGAGAATGGTCAATTGATGTGCCACTTGCTTTGACATTGCGGGTTTAATAATGCATGTGAATGCTTATGAAGCCACGATCAGTGTTTCCATTGAACACTACATTAATAGACCTTTCTGAAGATATTTGAGTTAGGAGTTCAGATTATTAATTGGAATGGAGAAGCTTATTCTAATTGGGGAGAACAGAACGGAACAAACCATATGCTGCAGCTTGCAGTGATAGAAGAATTTTATGCTCTGCTCTACTAGAATGGGTAATATATACATATATATGGTTTATTTTTTATTTTATTTTTCTTTCTCATCAAACTCTATCAGATTAGGAGATATTACTGTTAGCATAGCAATTTGATATTTGTAATCTTGTGCTTTGCTACCTTACTATTATATATTCTATGTTTTGGTGGCTTTTAGCTCAAATGACATTAAGGCAATTCGACAGTTATTGCAAATTAATTACTAGTATTATGATTGGTAAAGCTGCTGATACATACTACCCTGAGGTATGTTAGGTTCTTTATCCATTGTTGTACTAGCTCACCATATGGATTCAATGCCCAATGATAGGATAGAGGCTACAATGGGTATCAGCTTAGAGAAACAGGTACCTAAATTGAAGTTCCATATTATTCATTGCATCACTGCAACAAATGTGCAATGTATATATATATAATACACATTCATAGATGAGGTGTAGAAAGAGACCTTTAATTTGCAGTTTGCAAACCCATGAGACTCGATTAAATTAATTGTTAAGTGGAAGGAAAATTTGAAAACAAATCAAGTCCTTTGGAGCCTTCTGTTAATGGAGGATGTCTAGGGGCTCAACTCTAGTTAATTTGTTCATGATTAATCTAAGTATACTGGTGAAAGAAATTCAAGTGCCTTGGGTGATCGCAGCGTAGCAATGGCCATTATAAATCCATGATTTATCAAGTATACTGGTGAAAGTGAAGCAAGTCCCTCTGTGGGACTCTAATTGAAGAGCCTCCACTGAATTGAGGAACCAAAAACCAATGGGACAGTTGTATGTGGCTGTTCTATCGTGTCCTGATATTTTTACATGATCCTACAACTAAGAATGCATTGAAATAAAGAGGGATAGAGATATTTGAAAGCAGAGAATCCATGGCCATGTTCGGAGGGTTAGATTTGGAGGTTGTGGGCAGGCAGATGCAATCATGCAAACAGCCAGTTCAAATTACGTGGAACTAACTAGTTTACCATCTGATAGTTTTTTTTTTTTTTTAAATGCAGATCATCATCAAGTGGCTAACCAAATACAGATGAGAATTGCAATAGACAAAGATAAATAGAATTTCTGATCTGAACCCAAGTAATTTGAGCAAGTATCTTCTTTTAATTTAAGCACACTTGATCACAATGTGTATGTATGTCAAATGATATAAAGGCTTCTAAGTTTGGGCTTGTCAAAAGGCTGAAAAACAAATGCTAAGAAAAACAGTTGTGGTAGTAGTCATTTATTGATCATTTTGGATCATCAGTTTATTACAACATCTGTAACTTGTAGATATTCAAACTAACATCATTCGACATCAAATGAATGGAAAAGAGAAGAAAAAAATATTGTTGATTTATGTCTAATTGCCTTGGCAAGAAAAAATTTAGCCTCTTTTAGGCTAAAATCCACAAAAACACAAAATATGTTAAAATAACTAATAAAACAAAATGTCACGTCAAATCCATAATCATTTCAATTTTTCTCTCACAAACATCACATCCAACTACAAAAAAATTCAATCATCTTCCTAAATACAAAAATTTTAACCTACCAAAATAACTAAAAATTAAAATAGCAACTTCTCAAACACCCACGTAACGTGAGTCAGCCTACATGGGCTGCAAAAGGAGTAGCAAACAGAGAGAGATGGCCGCCTAACACGTTTCCAAAGATTTGTTTCCCGTCTTCTTCAAGAACTTCACCAAAAACCTCATCACACTCCCCATATCTCCTTTATCTGCGACTGTTTAGTGATCTGGAGTGTTCAAGCTCATCAGATGGATCCCAGTCCATAGAAGAGGAGAGAATCTTGGACAGAGTCATGAAAACCTCGGCCATAGCGGGTCGAGAATTGAGATCATCACGAGTGCCTATGCAGTTCTTGGCTAGCTGGGCCAAGGAGTAGGCCAAGTCCAAGGGGTATTGGTGCCCCAGACAAGGATCAATGAACCCTCGCAGTTTGTCTCTAACATTCTGTCCTCCGAGCACCTGACGTATAGTTGCAGATAACAACTCCTCCTCACCGTCCTCTTCATCTTCCCCATTCTTCTTGTTGTTGCCATCACGCCCCCCTCTTGCAGCTTCCCTTCCTGATAAGAGCTCCAACATCACCACACCAAATGCATAGACATCGAGTTTTGGGGTAACCAAACCATTCTCTATGTACTCAGGAGCCATATAACCGTGAGTGCCCACCACATGCCTCGTCAATTGCAGGTCTTGGTTCTCTGGAAGACTCCTTGCCAGCCCAAAATTGGCAACCTTAGCCCTCAAATGACCGTCAAGAAGGATGTTGCTGGTCTTCAAGTTCTTGTGGATGTAAGGGGGACTAGTGTAGTTGTGGAGGTAATTCAGGGCGTCCGCAACATCATAGGCAATCTGAACCCTCTGCTTCCAGCCTAGGTTGCTAGTGGAATAAGAAGCAGTTTTGGAATTTGAGTGTAGCCAATCGCTGAGGGACCCGTTCTCAGCATACTCATAAACAAGGTAAGTGTTCCCATCGTGCACGCAAAACCCAGAAAGCCTGATTATGCTAGAATGGTTGATCTGTCTCAAAATGTTGATCTCGTCTGAGACATCCCCTTTCATGACCTTAACAGCGGCATCATCGCCGTTGAAGGAACCCCGATATACAGAGCCCTTGATTCGGTTGGATTCGCCGAAGAACCCTGTGGCCTTTTGCAACTCCTCAAACTTATAAGCGGTAAGGGATCCAATGGCATATCGAACCCCTTCCGACGAGACAGACCAGGATTTGCTATCGGGCGGAACCGCACTGTAATCGGGTAATTCAGAAAGAGTCTCACCGGTGGGTTGTGGGGTTGAACCATGAACTGGCTTTTGATTTCGACGACGACGAAAGAAGAAGCAAAATAGAAATCCGGAGAAGGCGAGAAGAAGCAGGGCAGCACCTCCAACACCGGCGCCCACGAAAACCCATTTGGGGGAAGAAGTGGTGGTGGTGTTCCCAACGGAGAACTCAGTGGAGGAGGGAGGCGAAGGAGGAGGAGGAGGAGAGAGGGCGGCGGTGTTGAGCTTGGTGGGGTGGGTTCGAAGGGGAACAAGGAGTGGGGTGAAGGGGAAGATGATGCTATCGGGAGAGAGCTCGTTAGCGAGGAGTATGGTTTGGTTGTCGGCGGCGCCGGCGAAGGTGTTGGCGATGGATTCGATGGATTCGCCCCAGTTGACGAGGTATGTGAGGAGGTAGTTGAAGCCAGAGTGGGTCTGATTGGAGGTGGGGCAAGCGCAGCTGAGAGGGACGGAGAGTCTCATGCCGACGAGGAGGTCGCGATAGTAGTAGGGGTTCTGGGCTTTCATGGCCTGGCAAGTGGTGAGCCCCTCATAGGTGTTGTTGGATACCGTAAAGTAGGTCTCGGATGTGGTCTTGAGAACGTAGGAGGCGTTGTGCTGGTAGGAGGAGGAGGAGACTGTAGATGTAGTATTAGTACTGGAATTGGAATTATTGGAATTGTTGGAATTGGAGAAACAGGTGCAGTTTACGGGGACTATGAGGAGAGTGTCGGTGGGGATGGTTTGGACGTCGGAGATGTTGTTGATTTGGGCAATCTGAGAGGGATCGGCGCTGAGGAGGTAGCCTATGGTGGCTGGGGAGTCGTAGATTAGGGTGGATCGGAAGGTCAGATATGAAAGGCACGATGATGCTACTCCATTGCACACGTATCCTAACGTGTTGGCGTAATTTTTGTCGCAGTCCAGCTGCTTGTTATTTACATATGTTTGTTGGCCGCTCGATCCTTGAATTTCTTGGAAGAGAACCAACACAACCACAACCACAACCACAACAATATTACAAATAATTCTCACCATTTCCTACAACCCACGATCGATTAATCAATCAATATATATTCTTTGGATGGAATTGGGAATAAATTGCACAAACAATTCGGATTTAAAACAAACTCCCTAATTGTGAAGAGGAAGGGAGCGTGAGACTTGAGAGGAAGACGAGGACCACCCAGAGATCGAGATCGAGATGGAGATGGAGCATGCAGTAAGTAGCGGGTACTGGGTTGCTTTGCTGCTATGGGTTACTCTCTATCTCTTATGTTTCTGTGGTGGCTGTGGCCCAACTCTAGCAACGGCTAAAGTTAATATGATTAATCATGTAGCTACTGCTGTCGTTGTTGTATAATGTATCTCTGTGGAAATAGGGTTTTGTTTTTATTTTGTGGGTGGTGGGTGGTTGTGTTTTGTTTTAATTTTAGTGCGGGTGGTGGATGGCACTTGAGGATTGCAGATGTAGTCAAATTCCAACGCGTCATTTAATTGACTCATTATCTCGCCCTTACTTTTCAAAACCTGGTGTATACGTTGGGTTTGACAAATGCTACTTCCTCTACCGTGTTTGAATGGTAATTGTATATTAAAAAAATGGAGATATATTAAAAAAAAAATCATTTTTAAATATTTATATTTTAATTAATTCATAAGATATTTTTGTATTTTAATAAGTATTTTATGAATATTTTTATCTTTTTAAATATTTTTTGAACGGTTAATAATTTAGAAGTGTGAACATTTATATTTTACAATGTGAATATTCACATTGACGTGTAAATGTTCACATTGACGATATGAACATTCACACCACATAACATTCATACTGTAAATATGAATATTATTAGGGGTATTTTGGTAATTATGTCATTCATATGACTTATTGGGATATAAGAAAATAATGTGGATTAAATAGAATATAAGTCGGTGAAAATAGATTTATGAAAAAGTGCCCCTAGAAAAAAATTATAATTCAATCTAAATTAAAAATAAAAAAAATAATAAAAAAGGAGATTTTTGAAAAAAAAAATATTTCTAATATTTATATATCAATTAGTCCAAATTAATTTCTAATAGCCCTTTTCTTCTTTTTTTTAGCACCAGGCAAAGTACCATATATATTAACCAAAGGGTAAGGAAATTACAGACCTTGCAAGTTTATGTGCTGGTTCAACCAACACTCTATGCACTTTAGTTACACATAAAAAGTGGAAGGCAGAACTTAACATCAAAATATCTTGTAACACTACATCTACCTCCCAATCAAAACAATTTTTTTGTGCGCAGCTATCAACTAAAACTTTACAGTCAGTAAAAAAGGACAGGCATGTAATTTTCCTCGTAATCGCCCACTTAATAGCTTCCAAAAGAGCTCTTGCTTCTGCTAGCAATGGAGACGCCAGCCGAGTTGAAATCCCTCGTTGATATACCTGCAGTTGATATTCATCAAAACAAACCCATGCAATTCCTGTTGCTCTTGTGACCTGTTGCCATGCTCCATCCACGACACAAGTAAACAGCTGAAAATCCTTAGAAACCACACAAGTATTGGCAAGAACACAACAGTGGTTAGAAGATGAATCCTTCGACAGTGCCTGTTTATAGTCCAAACTAGCATTTATAACATCGATGGAATTGTTGGACCATTGCTTCTTAAAATCATCAACCAGAAGTAATGTTTGTTCAATGGATAATTGTTCATTTTGAAAAACCCGAAGGTTACGCTATCGCCAAATTGCCCAAAGGATAGCCACAGAATGGAGAATAAGCTCATCCTCCTTAACAGAAGTTATCCACTCCGTCCACCAAATGTGAAAGCCAACAGGTTGACCTATGGAGAAATTCAGACCCAAAGTTGTGCCCCTCCAAACTCGTTGAGACCACTGGCACTCAAAGAAAACATGCTCTCTGGTTTCCTCAGATTGGCCACATCGAGCACATATTGCATCAATAGGAACGCCTTTTTTGGGAAGCTGCCATTTTATCGGAAGGATATTATGAAGACATTTCCATAAAAATAAGCTCAATTTGGAGGGCAAGTTTAACTTCCACAATTTTTTCCAAACGAAAGTATCCACTGTATTAGCACTAGGAGTTCCCGCATGTCGACGTTTAATAGCCGACCAATAACCCGACTTAACCGAAAAGATCCCATTTGTAGTGCTAGTCCACACCAATCTATCAGGGCACGAAGCCAAAGGGATATAGATACCTAGTATCAATGGAACCACTTTTGTTGGAAACAACCAATAAAGCAAATCACCTCTCCAACAATTATTTAGAAAATCTATCAAATGTGCCACTCTCGTTTTTGGAAAGAAATTTGACAGCTCCATGCCTCGCACTGGGTTAATCTGTCCCGGGATCCAAAAATCGTCAAAAGGTTTGATGGACTGCCCATTCCCAACCCTCCACATTAACCCCTCCTTTAACAGTTCCCGACCCCACATTAAACTTTTCCATCCCCAAGACGCAGCTAGCGCACTGAATGTTAAGAAAAGTTTTTCCAAAACTATATTTTCCTAACAACACTGAGGCAAACAAAGAAGTCGGATTGGACAATACTCGCCAAGCTTGCCTTGCTAAAAGCGCCTGATTAAAAGCACCATATCTCGGAAGCCCAACCCTCCCTTTGACTTATACACTTATTCAAAAAACTAAAACCCCCAACTTTAGATAGTACCCAAAAAAAAATGAAACTTTAAGCCTTGTTTGGGAATAAGTTTTTTTAATAATTTTTTGACTTTTTAATTAAAATATAATGTAAAAAAAAATTAGTATGTTTGGAATGAATTTTTAATTTTTTACGAAAAGATGTGTAAAAAATAGAGAGAAAAATGAATCTTTGACTTTTTGGTATAAATTGTTGACTTTTTGATTTTTTTAGTAACTTTTTAGCTTTTTAGCTAAAAAAAGTCACTTGCCAAACAAAGCCTAAATCTATATTTTAGGAAAAAATCACTCTTTTTTGAATACTTATCCAATTTGAATTAAAATTTATATATTAGGAAAAAATCATGAAAGTTAATAAATATCATATTTAAAATTTAACTCTTTTAAAATTATAGAAGCTAATAAATATCTGACTTTCATAATTTTTTATAATATGAAAATTTAAAAATAACACAATAAAAATTTTAAATGAAAATCATATGTTTGGAATGACTTTTTGATTTTTTACGAAAAGATGTGTAAAAAGTAGAGAGAAAAAGGAATCTTTGACTTTTTGGTATAGGTTGTTGACTTTTTGATTTTTTTAGTAACTTTTTAGCTTTTTAGCTAAAAAAGCCACTTGCCAAACAAAGCCTAAATCTATATTTTAGGAAAAAATCACTCTTTTTTACTTGCCAAACAAAGCCTAAATCTATATTTTAGGAAAAAATCACTCTTTTTTGAATACTTATCCAATTTGAATTAAAATTTATATATTAGGAAAAAATCATGAAAGTTAATAAATATCATATTTAAAATTTAACTCTTTTAAAATTATAGAAGCTAATAAATATCTGACTTTCATAATTTTTTATAATATGAAAATTTAAAAATAACACAATAAAAATTTTAAATGAAAATCATAATATAATGTCAATATACACAATAAACAATAAATATACAGCTAACTTTCAAAAAAATAAAATACATACCAAAGTACAATGTGAATGTTTACAATAAACAACTAACATACAACTAATGTTTTAAAAAATAAAACTCATACCAAAATATAAGGTGAATTTTCACAGTCTACAATCAACATACAACTATCTTTAAAAAAAAACTAAACACATACCAATGTGAACATTTACACTGCAACGTAAAAATATAAAACAAAATTGAGATTCAGAGTTTACAATTGACATACACGTAACCTTAAAAACAACTAAACTCATACAAATGTGAGTATTCACATTGCAACGTGAAAATACGAAACAAAATTAAAATAAATAAATAAAGTAAAAATCGAATCTTTCAATTGTAATAAAAATAATTTCTTAACCAACAAGCATAGTAACAAACAATATATAACAAATCATCAAACAATATATTAAAAAATTATCAAATAGTTTATATGTATTGACGTACCTTTTTAAAAAAATCTATATATAATCAACTCTGATATAATACCGGTAAATAAATTACACAAATATCGATGACTACACAAACCAACAAAAAGACTACGGTTTATGTACAACAATGACAAAAAAGATTGTTCATCGCTGATTTACCATCATCTTTATTGCGAATCCATTATCATCTCTATCATCAGTCTACATGTACAACTAACTTTCTCTTCCAAATGTTCTTGTATGGCAAGACCTTATTATAAAATAATAGTAAAGGAAGAATTTTGATCAAGTGAATTCCTCATATTGAGGCAAAGAAAACACTAAGAATAATAATTTTTGATATTTATATAAAATATATCTAAAAAATGATTTTCTCTCTCCTAGGTATATGATAATATATATATTATAATAAAAGTCTATAAGGGTAAAATAGTCAACATAATACTTCTAATATAAGAAAAATGATCTATTGAAATATAAGTTTAAATGTATGGGATTAGGAGGAATACAATAATACTTTGTGGACTTATTGGGTTATAAGTCCTCTAAATGGGATTTATAAATAAATCTCTCAAAAAAAAAATTATAAATATATGAAGAAATTTATATGTTTTTAATTATTAAAATTGATAAAATTTACCATTAATTTATAATTATTTTTTTACAATTACACCGATTTATAATTTCAAGAAAATTAGTCTAAGGTCCTTATCTCATTTTTAGTAATAGAAGAGGTCCACAATATTATTTTGTGATGTCTAAGGTCCCTCAACCTTGACACCCATATATCACAGAGAAATTTGATTCTCTCAAATCAAACCAGCCTCTCCCTCTCTTCTTCTCTCTCTACCATTCTCTCTCCAACGAACTCCACCTCCATCGCCGCCGTCGACAACTCAATGGCAAAGAAAAAGACGATGACAACGATGTTTATGGCTATGGCAGCACTATTAGTTTTGCTAATGATGTCTACCTTACATGTCGATTTAGTTTTGGAGGAGCGAGATGGGAGGTTCCGCCATCCATACAAATAATAATGATCGCCATAGGAGTTCTTCAATAGGTCTGAGCAAAGAATCCATATAATTCGTAATCCGATCCGATCCAGTCCAATCCAATAGGATTGGATTGGTTTTTTGAATCCGTGGTTTAGTTCCGAATTAGAAATTTAAAAATCCGTAGGCTACAAATCGGTTCCAAATTGGAACTAATTCAGACCGTATACATTTAGTCTATATTTATACCATACACCCTCTCACATAATATCATTTCTTGTTTCATATAAAAGCTAAACACTAACCCTAATTCACCTCACACGCCACTCAGCTCACTCACTCACTGCTGCCTTTCA